TGCCCCCCCCGCCAGCCTGGTCGCTCCTAACTGCCCTTCCCTGCAGGCCTGGTCACCCCCAACTGCCCTCTCCTGTTGGCCTGGTCGCCTACAACTTCCCTCCCTGCTGGCCATCTTGTGCCCACATGGGGGCATCCATCTTGTACAAGGGTGTGACAGTCAATTTGCATATTACATCTTTATTATATAGGATAATTAGATGTTCTATTACCTTCTTGTGCTTGTATGTCCAGTTCCTTCCCCAAAATTAAGTTCTTATCTATTAAATGGCTCTCTGTTCCCTTCTCCTTCACTTCTCCTTCTGGGATACCCATTATCCTATGTTGCCCATTCTAACAGACTCGGATAGCTTTTGTAGAGTTCTTTCATTTTTTACAAATCTTGGTTCTCTTCCACCTGAATTATTTACAAATTTCTTCAAGCTCACTAATTTTCTCTTTCATATAGTCTGTTCTACTTCCAGTGCTTTCTAATGCATTCTTCATCTTATTTATTGAGTTCTTTAGCACTAGAATTTCTATTTCGTTCTTTACTTTATTATTTTTAATATATTTTTATTGAGTTCAGAGAGGAAGGGTGGGGGAGAGAGAAAGAGACATCATTGATAAGAGAGAATCATTGATCGGCTGCCTCCTGCATGCCCCACACTGATTGAGCCTGCAACCCGGGCATATCCCCTTGACTGGAATTGAACCTGTGACACTTGCAGGCTGATGCTCTGGCCACTGAGCAAAACCAGCTAGGGGTAGGTGTGTGTATTTTAATACCTGTAAAAGGTAAACCAAATAATACCATATATAGCAAAACTAGCCCTAAATACAAAATAATATACTATACCCCTAAACCTAAACATGATAATACTGTTTTTACATTTAAAATATAAAATAGAGTAATTTAGGCTCAAACATCAAATAAGCCTAGGTTTGAATTGCGGCCTTTATTTATAGTGTGTTTTTCGTCATATTACTAGCCATTCTAAGCTTCAGTTTCCTCTTCTGTCAGTTACATGATAATATTACTACATGTGGTTACTGTGGGAACATAGGAGAAAATACAGATAAAGCTGTTAGTACAGTGTAGAGCTCCCTAGTTTTAGCTGTCATTATTGTAATAATCATTACCATCCTATTCTCAGCTATTTTTGAGTAATTAATATTTTATTATTCCATAAGATTAATATCATTTTACTGCTCATTCTTAATAAGAGCCACAGGATCTAGAATTCACCTTGGTTCTCTCAGAACTATCCATTTCTTCTGATCTTGCTCAAATAATGTTCTGCTTTAGAAAGTCTGAATCAATCCTCCTCTTTTCAGATGTTGTCATCCTTTATTGTAAAGATCTTTAATATATTGGATTTGTTACAAATTAATGATTAATGGAGAGTCTCTGAGTGAATAATTCAACAACTTCACCAAGGCTTTCTTAAGTCATTGGCAATATAAGGAAATTCCAGTATTGTCACAGTGGTAATTTTTGCTGTAGCCACAGATGATAATATCTTTACTTTTCCTTGTTTTTACAATCCTAATACTGAAAGTAGTGTAGTTCTATAGATTTTATTTAGTTCAGGATTGGGCCAAGTATTTTTGTAGCTGGAATTTTATGTTTGTAACTAATTGTTTATACTAATGACTTTAATTAAAAATATTGTTCTTTTAAATAAATGGTAATGTCCCAACCTGGGTGAAAATAAAATTTTTTCCATTTGTATTTTCAGAGAATATTTTACCTTTAAAAATCAAGTGTTTTGTTTTATTTTTTAGCATACCTCCGGATAACCTTTCCATTCAAGAATTTCAAAGAAATGAAAGTATTGATGTTGAGGTGAGGAAGCTATTTAAAACATTTGTCTGTAACTATTTGTGCAAACCACATTGTAGAAATGTTAAAACTGTAAAATTGCTCAAAAAAATAAAGTGAAGTAATAGATTAAACTTAGACTAAGAGCATGAAAACTCTCAAAGAGGTTAAAGGTTAAATTTAAAGCATCGAAAATTTTTAAATGACTTTCTTATATTTGTTAGCTTTGCACTGAGTGTATGTTTTCTACTTAGGTGTGTCCATTTAATAATTTTAAAAACAGTTTATTCAGTAAAGTTCATTAGTCAGCAAGTATTTACTACAGTTGAATGAACAGATCAGATGTTTGTAGTTGAAATTGATCAGTGAGTTGCTTAGATTTCTCTCATTTTTAACCATCCATAGATGACCTTTAGCATTCTTAAATGAGTTTTAAAGAATATATTTTGTTGAATATAAATGGAGTTTAAAGTAGTAGTTTTTGGTTGTGGATGTGTGTGTGTGTTATTCTTTAAATAGGATAGGGAACTTTTAAGTAAATAAAATCAAATACTTTAAAGTGTACATAAAAAGCATAAACATCATCAGATACAAAATACTGCCTTTTGTCCAATTACTATATTAAAAGTCTTGTAAACTTTTCTTTAAAAGGCAAAAATAGTATATGATATATTAGAAGTAAGATCAACATTTAGTAAAATTGTTGCATAGTAAACAGTTTATAGTATTGACTACTTTGTGATAAAGTTATTTACTAAGATGGGGGGAAGCCGACTAGTCATCCTCTATATTAACCTTAAAATGTTTGTGTACGTCTATTGAGATTCTTTACGTGATTTTTTTTTACATAAAATTTAAATCTTACATTACAAATTGTCATTTGAGTCAATCTTCTTCAAGGAAAAAAATGCATTTGAATTTGCCTCTATTGTTTTAGGTAGTTCAGCTTATCAGCACAGAGATACTACCTTATGCCAATTTTATTCCTAAGGAATTTGTTGGTCAGATAATGACCATGCTTAATAAGGGCTCAATACATTCTCAGTCATCTTCATTTACAGGTATGTTATTTCAGTTATTTTTTTAAATATTAATAAGTATTGAAATATTTTTGAAGAAGCTTAATGTAAAAATGTTAACTCCTATGATTGTGGTAAATGTAAGTGAGTAAGGTAATTTTTATGAATGTGATTTAGAGCTTTAAGCTTTACGAGGGGGAAATGTGGTAAATATTCTGTGAATTATATGCAATGAATTAATTGCAAAACACTTAAGGAATCCACTTAAGTCTTTCAGGCTGACACGTTTCCAGTTTTGTGAAGTCATGGATTATTGGGAGGTAATAAGTGTATATTCTGCCACTTAGTAGTTGGCTAACTTTTCTAAGTTTGAGTTTTGTCATCTGTAAAATGAAGATATTAATACCAACCTCTCTGGACTATAAATTTCAGAGTTAGTCCATTAAAAAAATAGACACCTTGACATTAAAGAAACTAACATTTAGTGAGTACTACTTACTATGTATAGGGTTTTATGCCAGAATATTAATCCCGCTTCTCACAATATTTCTGTGAGGACAAGTTCCATCATATTATAGAAAGGAAAATGGGTTTTAAAAGCTTGAAAAAAATTGCTCACAATCTTAAGGCGGGTGGCCAAAATTCATTCTTAAAAAGAACTACATGCTCCTTTTGATTATATCATGCTGCCTTACTGGGAGATGATATATAAGTTGCCTTTTGCTGTTATTTCTCTTCTAAACCTGTGCTTAAATGTTAAGTGTAACAGTGGCATCATTTTTCTGTGAGATGATTAAAAAATAGTAAAAATGTGCCATGAATATCTATCCTTAATCCCCAGAATTTACCAGAGCCATGACTAACTTCTAACTAAGCTGAACACTTTAAAGAGCATATATGTGTGCAGCTTGACCACTAGATGTCTCTCATGTTGCTTACTTCACAAACCAGTTTTTTTTTCCTAGCCCAGTTTTAAAAACTGATCTGTTCATACACATGAGAACCTCAGAGAAAAAATCTTAAAGTTCATTTATCTTAATGTGGTCACTTTTATTATTGAGTGCATAAAAATTATAGATACATTTTTATAAAATACACAATAAGAACAATCTTTATAATCACTAGATACAAATATACTAGGCTAAATAGGAACTACTGAGTTACAATGTATGCTTTTTTAGTAGTTTTCTCATGATATCTCTTGCCGTTTATACTATTTTTAAAAATTCTTTTTTATTTTTATTGATTTCAGAGAGAGGAAGGGAAAGGGAGAGCAAGATAAAACATCAGTGATGAGAGAAAATCATTGATCGGCTGCCTCCTGCACACCCCTTACTGGGGATTGAGCCTGCAACCCAGGCATGTGCCTTGACTGGGAATTGAAGTGGTTCTGAACCTTCCTAATGCCACGACCCTTTAATACAGTTCCTCATGTTGGGGTGACCCCCAACCATAAAATTATTTTCGTTGCTACTTTATAACTGTAATTTTGCTACTATTATGAATCGTAATGTAAATATCTGATATGCAGGATGTATTTTCAGAGGTCGCGACCCACAGGTTGAGAACCGCTTTTCATGGGTTGAAGCTTAGTCACTGAGCCATATTAAACTATTAACTGTATCTGATAAGGTACATGGACATTCTTCCAATGACTGCCATAGGAAACAGACGTCTCAGCTTTGCCCTTGAGTGTTCCTTAAACACATATACTGGTCTTTCTTGCTAAATAAGACCAATCTGTAAACACAGAGTATCCAGTGATCGTTTTTGGTCTTCTGCTCTTAAGTATGATCTGACAGGCAAAGCTCACAGACATTTTAGGAAATTCTTCAACATGAAAGAGAAAGACCAAAAGAAATCAAGAGGGTCAAAAGAAACTGGGAGGAAAGAGGTAATGCGGAGTCATAGAAAACATTTTTTTAAAAGAAAAGCACAATTATTGTAATTAGGATGCTCAGAGAGATAAGTGCTTTTACATCCATGAAACAAGAAAAATGTTATTAAAAGGGAACAATTAGAACATTAAAAGAGGCCATAGAAACTACAATGTTGTGGCTGAAATAACAAGTTCAATGAAGGGTTGGAAGAAAAAATAATGAAATAACCTAAAATGCATAGCAAAGACAAAAAAGAAGAAATAAATAAAATGAATAAAGAGGCCTAACATCTGACAATAGGTCTTCCATAAAGAGAACAGAGAAAAGCTAGGAGAAAATTCTCAAACAATTTGAAATAAATCTCCAGATTAAAAATGGTCATTCAGGACCCAGAACAGTAAAAGAAAAAGGACCCACAGTAAAGCATGTCATCATGAAATATCAAAACATTCCGTGATAAAGAGAAGTTCCTAAAAGATTTCAGAAAGAAAAGTAAAAAGTTCCACCTAAAAGAGTTGTATGAAAATGACACATGGGAGCCTGGGCCGGTGTGTTCAGTGGTTAGAGCATCAGCCCAAGCACCGAATGTTCTCAGGTTTGATTCCCAGTCAAGGGTACGTGGGTTTGCTCCCCTACCAGTTGGGGTGTGTGCAGGAGGCAACCAATCAATGTGCCTCTCCCACATTCAGGGGAAAAATCATATATATAAATTTGCTAAGAGTTGTATTTAACCTTTTGTTAACCATCAAAAATTATTTTACAGAAGCAGAGATTGATATTCGTTTGAGAGAAGAATTTTCTAAAATGTGTTTTGAAACATTGCTCCAGTTTTCCTTCAGTAATAAAGTCACAACGCCTCAAGAAGGCTACATCTCACGAATGGCACTCTCAGTGCTTTTAAAGAGGTCTCAAGATGTACTACATCGCTATATAGAGGATGAAAGATTAAGTGGTAAATGCCCTCTTCCAAGGTATATATTTTATTAAAGAAGGAAATATGCTATTATAGTTATTCATAATAAAAAAAAGCCTCTGAAAAGTGTTTTCATAAGTGATCTGAACTTCACCTGAGGCTGTTTATAATTTGATGTTTTCCATACAATCTAAATGTTCATAAGTTTTGCTGCTGATATACTAATGTTTTATTAAGGGACGCTTTTTCAGTACCAACTTACCTTTATGAATTTGAAAAACAAAATTGAATTCTGAAAGTTTTTTTTCTTCTAAAGGATTTCTGAATAAGGGCTTATAAATCTACATGAGCACATGATTGTAGATCTCTCTGGAGAGAAAGTAATAAATTATGCTCTTTCTTTGGTTTATAGTTATTTCTAGGTTTCTCTGTAAGCCAGCTAGCCATATCTTAGATCTTCTTTTATCTAATTTGCTTATTTAAGTCCTTGTACCTAAACTGATTTATTTCTCATTTAGCCATACTATTATAGTGGAGGGGTCTCAGGGGTTTTCTGTTAAGCTCAGGCTAATCAAAGTCGGAGTATATGATCAAAAGTCATTAAAAAATGCATTCATAAATTAGGGCTGTATTGCCAATCTACTTTTTGATGGGGAAGTTAGAGTTTAAGGCAAAGCAAATGAAGTAAGTAAAATAATATTGGAAGATGAAGTTATTAAAGTTAGGAGAGAGGAAATGTGGGTCCCATTTCCTAAGGTAGTATTAGAGTGGTAAATCACTAGCCCTAAATCTTTGTGTACATTCTTATTTACTTATAATAAATTTTTGGAGTTAAAAATTACCTGTCAAAAGATACAGACATTTTAGAAGCTTTTGGTATGTATTACAAATTGCCTACCAGAGATTTCTACCAATTTACATTCTCTGAGGAGTATATGAATGTCCTTTTCTTCAGTGTTTAGCATTTTAGAATTATTTGCCAGTTTATTATTTATTTTCTTTTTCAAATTTGATGAATGAAAAAGTCACATAGTAATTTGCTGTACTATTTTTGAATTATCAATCCTTCTTAGCCATTGTATTTCTTTTAGGATTCACTGTATTTTTAATTTATAGGGAATAAAAATTATACCTCCCCATATTCAGATTTATATAGCTATGTCCTTTATATACAACTAGAGGCCCAGTGCACAAATATGTGCATGGTGGGGTCCTTTGGCCTGGCCGGCGATTGGGGCAGATTGAGGCCGGCCGGCTATGGGGAGGGACCACGGGAGATGGTCAGCTACAGGAGGTTGCCAGCTGTGGGAGTGCACTGACCACCAGGGGGCAGCTCCTGCATTGAGGGTCTGCCCCCGGTGGTCAGTGCTCATCCTAGTGACCATTCTACTGGTCGTTTGGTCGCTTAGGCTTTTATATATATAGACTAGTGGCCCAGTGCATGAAATTCGTGCATGGGGAGAGGGGAGTGTCCCTCAGCCCAGCCTGTACTCTCTCCAATCGGGGACCCTTTCGGGGATGTCCGACTGCCCGTTTAGGCCCGATCCCTGTAGGATCCCTGTAGGATTGGGCCTAAACCGGCAGTAGGACATCCCTCTCGCAATCTGGGACCATAACTCCTAACGGCTCACCTTCCCGCCTGCCTGATTGCCCCTAACTCCTCTGCCTGCCTGCCTGATATAGCCCCTAACTTCTCTGCTTGCCTGCCTGATCGTCCCTAACTGCCTCGACTTCTTGCCTGATTGCCCCTAACTGCCTCTGCCTGCCAGCCTGATCACCCCTAACTGCCTCTGCCTTGGCCTCCACCACCATGGCTTTGAATGGAAGATGTCCAGTCTATCTGGTCTAATTAGCATATTAACGTTTTATTTTTATTGATAAATCTACATCTGGACTGATAGGCAGCCATATGATCTATACTGCCAAAGCAATCATTAAAAAATTGAACCACTTTCTTACTCCTTATACCAAACAGCTGTTGCCCTTAAAACCCCTCCTCAGCCCCCACCTTAGGTTCTGCCTTCGCAGTTCACCCAGATTAGGTTCTGATTGGACAGTTTCTATGCCAGTGAGTGTCAAAAGCTCCGCCTCCTAGGCAGCCATTGGCTCCTCATACTTCACCCAGATTTGGTTCTTATTGGTCAGTTTCTATGCCTGTCAACGTCTCTGGGCCTATCTCCATGCCTGATCAGAGAGGCAGAGCTGCTGGCAAAGCCCAGAGAGAAAGAGAGAGGCAATGGCTAGTCAACAGCTGCCATAGAGGCTGCAGATCAGACCCTGCCTCTCGCTCCGGGCCTCTCTCCGGGCCTGATCTGCAGCCCCCTCGGCAGTCAGTTGCTGGGTCGCCACACCCGCAGCAGCAGCAGTCGTCATGGCAACCCAGCACTGACCGCAGGACTGACTTCCAGTCAGTTGTGCCTTCGGCTGTTACAGTCCCTGGGTTTTTATATATTAGGGTAGCATTCCAAAGACAGGTATTAGTAACGTGTTTATAGTCATCATTGAAACTGATTCATCAAAATTGATCTCTGAAATACATTGGAGAGCAGTAATAAAGTTGCTTTGCTTGGACTGTTTTTATTTATTAGATTACAACCTTATTTGGTTTCAAAATTAACTTGCCCTTCATTTTTAAATATTTTGTGTTTATTCTATTACTTTTCAATTGAATATTAGTTATATATTAGGAAAATCTTATCTGTAGAATGAAAACACAGACTCATACCTGAAATGGGGTTGGGGTGCTGTTTATACTATAGCAGAAGAGCTTTATTTCATAGGGAGAAAGAAGGGATTCAAGTTACTCTTGTGCCATGAAGTGTTATGTTCTGTCATATTATGTTTGATGCAGTTACCATTACATTTTTTTCTAAAAAGCTGCATTGCAACAGGATAAAATACTTCAGTGCTTACAAAGGGTGGCTTGAAATAGTACCTTGTCATATATTAGGAAAATCTTATCTGTAGAATGAAAGCACAGACTCATACCAGGAATCGGGTTAGGGTGCTGTTTATACTATAGCAGAAGAGCTTTATTTCATAGGGAGAAAAAGGGATGCAAGCTACTCTTGTTGATCCTTTGCTGCAAGTTCATTCTTTATTGCTGATGTCTCCAAATAGTGCCATCTTAGGACTGATTTTGAGCATGTTATTTGTTTACTGGAACATTAACTATGCATTATTGTAATTTTAAACTTACTTTTAACAGCATGATAAAATATGTGCTAGGAGGTAATAGTAGTCTATATTTCCATTTAATCTTTGGCAAATCCTTTCTAGTACTAATTAGTTAAAATAAATACACCTTTCACAGAGAAGTTTTAAAAGCACATATTGTAAAATGTTTTAATTTTAAGTAGTTACATGAAATTGCTTACAAATAAATTTAGATTTGCACGAGTAGATTGCCTCTCCCCCCTTTTTAAACTGATAACTACTGGTAAGAACTATATATCTTACTAGAGGCCCGGTGCACAAAAATTCATGCACTTTGGGGGGTCCCTCAGCCCAGCCTGCGCCCTCTTGCAGTCCAGGGCCGCTCACAGGATGTCTGACTGATGGCTTAAACACAGTAAAAAACACACATGCATATGTTAAAATCTTAATGGAAATAATTTCTCATTTCTTTTTTAGGCAACAAGTAACAGAAATCATATTTGTTTTAAAAGCAGTTAGTACTCTCATTGATTCACTTAAGAAAACTCAGCCTGAGAATGGTAAGTGCTTAGAAACTCAGTTATTCTAAACTCATAACGTTTATCTCCTATTTGTAATGTCCTTTTGTATTATTATTAAGTTAACTGAGTTTTAGGAACATAACAGCTATTAGACTTTCTTTTCTCTGGTCTTTATGACAGTTAAGCATCAGCCCATTAAGATGTCAATTAAGTAAAATTTATTCTTAATGTTTTGTCTTCATGTTAAAACAACTATTTGGCTGACTTTTTTTTTTTTAAGTAAATTGGTCTGAATTCAGGGTGTTGTATGGACAATTCATATTTTGTGTTTTTTTTAATATAGAACATCATTGACTTTTTCTGGTATGGGGAAGCTTCTATTCTGCATTTGTACTGATTTACTGTAGATATATCAACTGTATAAATAACTATGAATCATTTTTATAGTCCTTTCTCATTTATTTTCCCTTTCTGTTACTTATTCCTGTCCAATCTGTTCTTCACATTATGGCCAGAAATGACTTTTCCAAAAATATATTCAACCATTTATTTTCCCATCCTTGTAAAACAAAACAAAAAAATCTTTTTTACTTATTATCTACCAAGTGTGTCAAGAGTACTGTCTGACTATTCTATTCATGCTTGATTTCCCACTAGACCTCATACACCCTACTCTCCCACCAAATTAAAATTCTATCTACCCAAGTATTTCCAACCCTTTGCTTATTTCATTCTCCTGTCTACATCCACCTAATTCAAATACCACTCCTCTTTTAAGCCTGTTTTTAATCCTTAAAGGTAAATGATTTATTTTTCTTGTTGAATTCCTAGCTCTTTTATGTGTACCTTTGCATTAAAGCACCCTATTTGTGTTATAGTTGTACATGTACATGACTCACTCCCCTTAGATTGTAAAGTTCTTAAGAGGCTTTTTGGGCCTTGTTTTGTTCTATTTTGAATCCTCTACAGTAGTGGTCTTAACCTTCCTAATGCCGTGACCCTTTAATACAGTTCCTCATGTTGTGGTGACCCCCAATTTCATTGTTACAAACTGAACATAATTAAAGCATAGTGATTAATCACAAAAACAATATGTAATTATATATGTGTTTTCCGATGGTCTTAGGCGACCCCTGTGAAAGGGTCGTTAGACCCCCAAAGGGGTCGCGACCCACAGGTTGAGAACTGCTGCTCTACAGCATTGTTACTCAAAGTCTGGTTTGTTGGACCAACCACTGCTCTTAAGAGTTTGTTACTGATCCAGGACAAGGTAAAGAGCTGGCACCAGAATATAAGTCAATTGTGTCACTAAACATACTCTCATTCAGCTGACGTTTTTTTAAACAACTAGACTTTGTTAAATAAGGAAGTGTATTGGTTTACATTCTGGCACCTTAGATGACTGGCACTTTAAACAGCATTTCTTTTACTAACTAAGAAAAAAGGAAGTCCCTAATAAATGATTCATAGAATATTTATTTGTTCCTTTCAATTATTATATAATTAAAATAAATACATGTCTTTTTGTTTTTAAATCTACTTATTGGTACTTGGGCCTAAAAAGGGTGAGTACTATGTGAACTCTTAAGAGTCAATAATAGACTTATGTTTATTCAATCCAAAGGGAGGTGTGGAATTTTGGGGGAAAATCCTGGAGCAATGTCTTAAATTTATCTCAAGTTCAAATTTAAGTTTTTATTAAAAAAAATATTCTGGCTAATTTTTCAGAGAGGGAAACCATGCATTGATTTTTCTAGAAGTCAGTCAGTAAAATCTTTATTAGATCATAGGATAGAATTAGATCCTTAAAAATATATTATACTTAAGACATAAACAGGAAATTCTCTGTTTCCCATGTTACTGGTTTCGTATAACCAGTATATTTCAATGTATAGTATTTGCATTCTTTTGTATGCTCTTTAGATAGCTATCAATAATTTAATGAGAATTTGTTTAAAGAAAGAAAGAGGAAGGAAGACTCAGCAACCTTTAAAAAAAAAACAACAAAAAAAAACAAAGCCAATGGGCCGTAGATAGGGCAGTATAATTATTAATGTTAAAAATTGTTTAAGAGAGTTGGAATTATGCCTCTAGGCATATGAAGTGAAGTTTAATTTAAATGTAACCATAAATGATGATTATTATATTATAACATATTTAAAAGGTATGATAAGCTTCATTAAGAAACAGAAAAAAAGAAGATAACTTAGAAAAAGCCAGGCTTTCTCAGCAGAAATATGTTGGGCTGCTCATGGCCAGTTCAAAATTAATTCAGAAGGATGGCTACACGGTTTGGAACCGATGTATACTTTACATGTGTTTAGCACATTGGTTATTTGTTATAGGGTTTTCTAGGGGGAGAGGAGACATTTATTGGACTTATTTTTAGTTTGAAATAATTTTATTTTTATCATTTACCTTGATCTTTATTTAAAAATTTTAGCTGGTAGTAAACATACACTCATGGTTCAAATGTACAAAAAGAATATACAGTGTGGGGCAAAAGTAGGTTTATAGTTGTTTATACGGAACATAGTGCAATAAATAATAACACAAGAATAAACTCTGCTTCTGGTACTTAAAACTGTAAGTTTACTTTTGCCCCACCCTGTATATAAAGGGAAAAGTTTTAAGATCTTTCCCCTGTTCTGTGTCTACCCAGTTCTTACCTCACCATAGGCATTCACTTTTATTAGTTTTTTAATCCTTCCACAAGTTTATGTAAATACAAAATATATACTTCACTATGCCCCCAGTTTTTAGCACAAATGAATGTGTATCTTATTATTATCTATTGTTCTGGACACTTTTTTGCCCCCACTTTATAAAATACCATGAAGAATCTTTCATATCAATACATATAGCTTTTTCTTTTTTTTGATAGTTAAGTCCAAAGTGCCCACCAATATCTGTGGTGAGTTTTTAAAAAATACTTTAATTTAAGAAATTTGAGTAGCTTTCCCTGAGTTTAAGATGTTATCTTAAATAATGTATTTTTGTATTTTCCTGTAATAAACAGGGCAATCTAGGTAAGTTTTGATATATGCAACCTTGTTCCCTCCAAATATTTTTTTAATATATGTATTTTATTGATTTTTTACAGAGAGGAGGGGAGATGGGATAGAGAGAAACATCAATCAGCTGCCTCCTGCACATTCCCTAATGGGTATGTGCCTGCAACCAAGGTACATGCCCTTGACCGGAATCGAACCTGGGACTCTTCAATCCACAGGCCAACGCTCTGTCCACTGAGCCAAACCAGTCAGGCTCCAAATTTTTATCTGAGTAAAATACAAATAAAATTTATCATCTTAACCATTATTAAGTATATGTATAGTTCAGTATTATTAAATACTAGAGGCCTTGTGCACAGATTCATGCACGGGTGGGTTCCGGCCAGCCTGCCCAGATCAGGGTGGGGGAGGCTGGTCAGGGGTGGGGCCAGCCAGGGGAAGAGGCCGTGGGCGGTTCGTTGGCTGGCCCCACCCCCTAGTCGAACTTCCAGTTGAGGGGACAATTTGCATATTAGGCTTTTATTATATATGATATTCATAATATTGTGCAACTATCATCACCATCCATCTCCATAACTTTTCATCTTGTAACTGACACTTTATACTCCTTAAACAGTAACTCCCCATTCACTATTCTTCCCAGCCCCTGGCAGCAATAAGCCTACTTTATGTCTCAATGACTTTACTCTGAATAGCTCATATAAGTTGAATTACACAGTATTTGTCTTTTTGTGGCTCACTTATTTCACTTAGCATAATGTCATCAAGGTTCATCCATATTATCTATATATATATATAAAAAGCCAGCGACCAGAACACTGTAATGATCAGAACGACTGGTCGCTGTGATGCCCACTGTGGCCAGCAAACCAGCCAAATCGGGGTGGGCCAGCTGGCCAACCTCCCACAGTCCCTCCCTCCTGACTGGCCCAGCCCTGATCCTCCCCACCACCCTGATCAGCCTGTGGCCTCTCCCCCCAGCCAGCTCCGCCCCTCACACCAATTGGGGATGGGGCTGGCCGGCCAACCTCCCACAGCCCCTCCCCAGCTACTGGCCCCCAATCAGGCTCCCTAATTGGGGGTGAGGTCCACCGGCCAATCACCTGTAGCCCCTCCCCCCAGCTGGCCTGGCCCCAATCAGGTCCCGATCAGGGGCTGGCCAGCTGACCAACCTCCTGTCTCCTCCTCACAACAGGCCCAGCTCCCATCCGCCTTGATTGGGGCCGGGCCGGCCGGACCCCACCCATGCACAAATTCGTGCACTGGCCCTCTAGTAGTATAGAGTAAACACTTGATTTTGTGGACCTCAATTTAACAGACTTCAGATTTAATGGACAAAATTTCTGGTCCGTATGTCATGTGAAAATTAACACCCTGTTAATTTTAAAATGCTTTTAACCAAGATTTGTTTATAATTAAATTAAGAAGTTATTTTTTGTTGTTATAAATTCACGGCTATTTTAAACAAATTTTAACCAGTAGAGCATATGTTTGAAAAAACACTAGTAATTTCACCGCCATATATAAATATTACATATCTATAACTATAGTCTATTTTAAATCCAATAGTGACTGTTTGTAAACAATGTTCTTTGAATGATTAGCACATGATCACAAAGCATCTCATTTGGTAATTGGTTCTGTTGTTGAGTGGCATGACTTTCTGCAGCAGTTCTTTAAAAATATTTTTTCATTGATTTCAGAGAGGAGGGAGAGGGAGAGAGAGAGAGAGAAACATCAGTGATGAGAAAGAATCATTGATCTGCTGTCTCCTGCACGTCCCCTACTGGAGTTTGAGCCTGCAACCTGGACATATGCCCTTGACTGGAATTGAACCCGGCACCCTTCAGTCGCAGGCCAACGCTGTATCCACTGAGCCAAACCAGATAGGGCCTGCAGCAGTTTTAATGTGTGCTAGCCTATGTTCCGACGTGTGCTAAGCCACGCCCTAGCTGTGTGCATTTGCTGGCGGTGACTGGTGAATGCACACATTTACTAAACCTATTCAGTATAAATTTAAAATAGCAGTAACACATATAGAAAACTTTTCTGTGAAATTAAACTTTTTATACATACTTAATTTTAATTATACAAATATGTCTATATAAGTAAAAACAGGTAAACTACTTTGTCAATTTTTGTAACATATGCATTCGGAAATTACAAACTAATTGGGATATAACACTTTTGTCCATTCACTAAATGTCATTCAACAGTATTAATTGTTCATAATAGTCCTTCCCCACTACAGTTCATATCTAATGATATACATCAAAGATTGTCAAACAGGCCAAGCCAGTGTGGCTCAGTGGTTGAGTGTCGACTCATGAACCAGAAGGTCACAGTTCGATTTCCAGTAGGGCACATGCCTAGGTTGTGGCAGGAGTTGTGCAGGAGTTAGCCAGTAAATGATTCTCTCTCATCATTGATATTCCTATCTCGCTCTCCTCCCTTTCTCTCTCTGAAATCAGTTTTTTTAAAAAAAGATTATCAAGCAGTTCAAGAATGAATCTATGTATGGTTATTTAAAATTGAAAGCAATACCAAGGACATTACAGAGCAAATAATATATTTATATTTTTAGCACACAACTGCATAAAAAAATTAAACTCTTTTCTAATTGTTCTTGAAATGTACACTATATTCTCTAGCAATTAATTGAAAATGACTAAAGTTTTGAAGTATTCTAAGTTACTTGACTTAGCTTCCAAGGCCTTTGCAATTGCAGTATCATTTAAAAATGTATTTTTATTAAATTTGTTGGTATTGATATATCTGCACATTGACCATGTATTTTCCCTTACATCTTATTAAATATTGCAGGAAATCTTCCAAAGGTAAAAGAAGATTGTGGAATCTCCATATATTGGGGAATTTTTTCTTTGCATTGTATTTAAATGATTGTGTTTATGTTAACTGGGTGATCTCTGCTATTGAAATCCACCCTTTTCTGAGGTTTTATACTTTTTGCATTACAGTTGATGGAAATACCTGGGCACAAGTAATTGCCTTATACCCAACTTTAGTAGAATGCATCACCTGCTCATCTTCAGAAGTCTGCTCTGCACTTAAAGAGGCACTAGTTCCCTTTAAGGATTTCATGCAGCCACCAGCATCCAAAGTTCAAAATGGAGAATCTTGACCAGCTACAATAAATTTAAAGAAGAAAGATATCTAAAGAATATCTGCTCCTCAGTGAGTCTTCTATTGGAAGACATTTCTTACTACAAATAATTCTTGGCAGCTGTTGTTGGCCTTCTTTAAATTGTACTTACCTGAGTTCAGTAGTTCTTATTACAAGCTTACACGCCAGCAAAGGCTCCTGAATGAGTATCAGTGCAAGCCTTTAATAATTAAACTGATTAGGGAGATGGTTAATACTATAGCATACCTGCTACCATATCTTCAACTGGTGATTTAAAAGTGAGTGCTAATGTTAAATGCTTGATGCTGTATTTATTATAAATATAAAATTGTTTGCTTACCTTTTTACTTATAATTTGCTTTCTTAAGCGGCAGATACACTCCCCATATAATCATGAAGTTAGCTTAATGATTATTTTAAATGTAGTTGCTAGTCACTATTAAATGTCTGGCCAGAAAGGTCATGTGAACACAGCTGCAAATAGTTTATGATTTGCTTATTTTGCAACTCTGAAGTATAGGTTATTAACTTAATACATTGAGATATGTTGTAGCACTATGACTCCATCATACCTCATTTCTTTAAATGTCTTTTCCAGCTTTCACATAAGTATGTCTGTTTTTATATTTGCTGTCTGGATTTTAAAGACTTTGATATTTTATATTTCTACTGATTCTCCTCCCCCACCCCTCACTCCCTCACTGAGTAACAACATTTATCACTGACTTTGAATTGTGACCCAGGCAAAATGATTTCAGATTTCCTAAAATTTTGCCTGTAAAGTTTTGTTCATTTCAGTGCTTCCTTTTGTAATGTCTTCTCAAGAAGCAAAATAACTATGCTGACCCACAAATATAAAATGTGTGTGTGTGTTCTGAAACAATGAGAAATGTATTTTTGGAGATAGAGAAGCATTTAGAAGTGCAGTAAACTTTCTGTCATGGAGAAAAATGCTAATTTTGTTTCACTTTCCTCTGCTAGTGAAGAAATGCTCCTGAGTACATTAACTTAACTGTTCCTTAACAAATGGACTGACCTAACTTACTGTGTTTTTTATTTTATGGGTTATGCTATTATATTTTTCTTTTGAATTAAATTTTCATAATTTATGTGAAGACTCAAGGAGGTTTAAAACAATTATTTTTCATAAGAAATCATAATTGTCTCAGTATTATTTTAGTGTCCTGGAAGGCCTTTGATTTTAATAGAATTTATGCCTCTACAGCATATTTATAAAATGACAAGAAGATATTAGAATTAAGTAATGAACAAGATATAATTGTGAGGCTATTGTAATTGTGTAATTACTTAATTTGCACTATTATCTGTAAACAAGTGGTTAGATATTTTTTTAAGGGATAGTATTTTTTTACATGAATTAATGAATTTCTACTTTATAATTTCAAGTAAAATTAAGGTAAAATAGGGCATTTTCTAGATTCTATCTTCAGCATTTGTCTTAAAGAAAGTTTTAAAAATTAATTGCTCAAGCTGTGTATTTAGTTTACTTTCTATATTTGGATATGTCAAATTGGGTATTAGAAAAATCTGCATATCACTGATAAAGCATTGAAAATAGAATAATAAGAGTAGTGTACAGGTTCAGTAACATGTTTAAAATATTGCCAAGAATTTACATGAAGTAAAAATGCATCTATTCTTGAGAAATAGCAGATCAATTGCAATTAGAATTATCCTCTTTGAAAGTTAAATATGAGTCAGAGGTATATACATATATTTATATAAACTGATGAAGTTCGTGCATGGGGTGGGGGCAGTGTCCCTCAGCCTGGCTTGCACCCTTTCACAATCAGGGACCCCTTGGGGATGTCTGACTGCCAGTTTAGTCTCAATCCCGCAGGATTGGGCCTAAACCGGCAGTAGATTATCCCTCTCACAATCCGGGACTACTGGCTCCTAACGGCTTGCCTGCCTGATCGTCCCAAACCACTCTGCCTGCCTGCCTCATTGCCCCTAACCACTCGCCTGCCTGCCTGGTCGCTCCTAACTGCTCACCTGCCTGCCTATTCACCCCTAACTGCCTCTGCCTTGGCCCTCGCTGCCCCGGCTTTATTCGGAAGGACGTCCGAAATGATGTCCGGAAGATAGTTTGGCTGTCTGGACTAATTAGGATATTACGCTTTTATTACTTTAGATTGGTTTTACTAATATTGTGTTAGCTTTCAATACCAGGACCATACCCTACAGTTCAAAACACAAATTTGGTGAATGTGTAAATACCATATAATATAGTGATCAGTGGCCATCTTAGTGTCAGGCAAGCTGGGCCACCCCCCTTGGTGGTATAATTTGACAGGTTTTTCCTCACAGAATATCTCTCACCACTCCCAGGACTCACTATTATTAATTCATTCCCTTGAGTCAAGCATACTTCTAGGCTAAAATACCCTGATTCCTGGAAGGTTAACCCTTGTCTTACTGGTATGAATTGGGTTCTTCAGTTTTGGGCTATGTGAGATTACTACATGCTAGGAGATTCAAAAAGGAAGTTGCCGAAGCTAATATCATTTTGTATGACATTTAAGACTATGATTAGTCCATGAAACAGTAGTAAAAATGTCCTTTGGGATACATATTATAATTACAATGAGGTTTTTAAAAAATATATTTTATTGATTTTTTGCAGAGAGGAAGGGAGAGGGATAGTTAGAAACATCAATGAGAGAGAAACATCGATCAGCTGCCTCCTGCACACCTCCTACTGGGGATGTGCCTGCAAGGTACATGCCCTTGACCGGAATCAAACCTGGGACCCTTCAGTCCGCAGGCCGATGCTCTATCCACTGAGCCAAACCACCAGGGCTACAATGAGTTTTGTCTCTCATAATCACTTTTTGTCACTGACAGTACCTTTTTTTTTTTTTTTTTGTTATCCTAACCCAAGAGTATTTTTCCATTGACTTGTAGAGTGAGTGGAAGGGACGGGGAGAGATAGAGAGAAACATTAATGTGAGAGATACACATCAATTGGTTGCCTTCTGCACACACCCCAACCAGGGTCAGGGATCAAGCCTGCAACCGAGGTACGTGCCCTTGACCAGAATCATTCCTTCAGTCCCAGGATGACAATCTGTCCACTGAGCCAAACCAGTTAGGACAGTGCCTTATATATAGATTGGTGGACAACAGACATCTAACATTTGGATTAAAATCTTTTTCTGACGTTTTTCCATTATAAAAAAAATTAATTTTAACTTGGAATAGTTTACGTTTTAGTTTCCTATAATGCCGCCACTGCTAAAGAACAGGTCATTTTGTAGTGTCTTATTTTATACTCCTTTATAACTAGTGATAACTAAAAGTTTTGTTAATTTTACTGTATACATTTATAACATTTACTTATTAGGAGCTTGTAGGTGCCAAAAAAAAAACACGCATGAAAGTCTGCCTTAGAGAGACCCACTTTTTATTTGATTTCATTTTTAATTTTATTAACAACTATATTGTTTCTTACCTGTTTTCCCCCTATATGATTATTGATTCAACTATTGCTATATTCCGTAAATTATGTTACACTAGAAGGAAGAGGTGAACAATTAAACATATATATTTTATTCTGAAGAATAGCATATACTTAATATTATAATAGTTTATTTGTCCTATCTCAATATAACTTGAAAGTATTTTGTTCATTGTCACAATTTGGAATCACTGGGCCCAGGCAACCATTTGGCCGAAGGGTCCATTGAGAAACAGAATAAAAGAGCTTAAATTATTGAAGTGTTAGCAAACAACTCAAAAGTATTAATGAGGTCATTATTACACTCATGTTAATGAAAGACAGTGTAGTTATAGAATGACTATATTCTTCTCAAATGTAGAATAATTAAGATGGGCAACCAGATCCTCGAAAAAGACTGGTGTAGGTGAAGTCTGTCTAGCGAAGGCAGATACTTTCAGGAACTCACCTGCCTGTGATTGCTATAGTTATTAATAGTGGCGACTTAGAAGCCCTGGAATGAATTGATGTCCAGGCCAAGAATATTGTGAACTTCTGGTTTTTAATAGAAAATGACCACAGATGTGGACAAAAATGGTCTCCTGAAAGCATTGCCAGCAGCCTACTATGTTCTTTAGATTTATGCTTAATGCATTTGACATTTTGGCAGATGTGCTGCTCTCGTGCATAGTGCCAGCCTTCAGCTATGTTTAGAGTTGTTGGGTTGCATTTATCTACATTTTTAGAGTGAATTGTGCTTTTTTATTTAAATTACCATTCATAGAATGAATGAGTGGGAGTTTATAACACATGGTGTGTTACCAATTTATATATTACGGGAAAGCAGGTTTTAATATTTCAGAAACCTTTAATTAAAATTTTTGTATCCTGGCAAGTAAACTAGTGCTTTCAAATTGAATGAAAAGTATTTCTAGATTGGGAAGGAAACTTTATCTGTTTCTTAATTTATATAAAAACTATTTCAGAGAAGTTAAATATCCATGTTTACATCTAGTAAGTTTGAATGCACTGGTAGTGTTGGCTGTTTTTAAGGGAGCATGCAGTCATTCCTTCGTTGAATATAAATATTCTTATTAATCTTGACTGTGAGGCAGCAAGGAACAGAGACTCTGCCTCTTACTTAACGCTGGGCATGTTAACTTTTCAAAGCCTTCGTTTTCTAATCTTTAAAACAGATGACAATGGGTCCTCATTAATTCTTTAGAGAAAAAATACACAGTTTGAATTTAGAGGGTTTTTTACATTATTAAGGTAGTAATCTTCAAGTTATTTGATACATTTATTACTATATCCTAATTGAGACCTTTGACTATATATTTTTCTTCCTCTTTCTCCTGCATCAGTTTCTTCCCTTCTCCTATGTATGTATGTATCTATGTATGTATTTATAAAAGTTTATTGATTTCTAGAGAGAGGAAGGGAGAAGAGAAACATTGATATGAGAGCATAACATTGATCTGCTGCCTCCTGCACACCCGCTACTGGGCACCAAACCCACAACCCAAGCATGTGCCCTGACTGGGAATCGAACTGGCAGTCCTTCGGTGAATGGGATAACACCCAACCAACTGGACCACACTGACCAGAGTCAAGTTAAAATAATTTGTGACTAGAGCTCCTACTATCTTTCTGAATCCACAGCATTCAGTAGTGAGGATGCCCACAAAATGGGATGCTATAAATAGGAATTCAGCAACTAAACTTGGAATAATCATGTCTTTTCTGTTATGTGGCTTGAGAGATCATAGCACTTTTCTCAAAAAGGAAATGAGCTTACATTAAGTTTTCCCCCCTTTTGTTTGTTTTTGCAGGCAGATGCTTTGAGTTATTTTAGACTTACATGATCTAAATAGGAGGACATGCCACAGCATATTGCCCATGTATTTCAGCTGTTTCTGGCTTTCCATTCCAAAACAGTATTCTTTTGATAGAAGACCTAGAATGTTACAGTATTCTCTTCAGGGCTTTCCAGGGTGTATTTGGTAACCATGTGCTTGGTGCTTACAGAGGTCAGCTCAAACATTCCTAATTATACTGTGAGATAAGAAAAAGAAAATTATTGTACCCTTGAGTTTTGATTCCATTTTCAGTTGCTGCAAATTCAGTTACATTGTTTTATTTTATACAACATTTGATAAATAGTGGAGGAAAGATCAAAACCAAACCATTATTTGGGTAATGACTGCAATATAACAACTGCTTTCTGTGAAGTTTACTAGATATGAGAACATTTCCAAAGCTATATTATTATAATGTTAGTCTTTTTATCTAGCAAAATAAAATAAAATATTAGGCTTCAGACCCAACTGTGCAAATTGCATTTGCTTTCCAGCTTTTACTATTTCTGTGTTATAATTTTAACATATAACATACAACTTCTGTCTCTCAAAGCAGTTACCCATATGATGTTTATGTCAGACTGGATATATTTATCTAATTTGGTGAGTTTCTTTTTTAGCTCGCAGTGCAGTTCTTGAAAGTAATACTGCTGTTGTTACAATTTCTCTTTGCACTTTTTATGTTGTTAAAATATATCAGTTACGTATTATAATCATGAAAGCCCCTTGGCCTCAAACCCAGATTTTCTTTGTGGCCTAGGATAGATTTTTCATAAAAACTGCAAGTTCCTGGCTGGAGTGGCTCAATGCTTGAGTGTCAACCTATGAACCAGGAGGTCACATTTGTTACCTGGTCAGGGCACATGCGGGGTTTTAGGCTCAATCCCCAGTAGAGGGTGTGCAGGAG